CATGTGGCTGGTTATATGCAATAAACAAAAACATTTTTGTTTCTATGCACAGAGAGATTGTGGAGTTGATGAGGATATCTTATTTGGTTGATATACATATAGAGTTCTTTCGTTAGAATGTTAGAAAGCGTAAAAAGACAACTCTAAAGTCGAGTCGTTGCAAGAAAATTTCGTTTCTCACCAGTTTTTTTAAAAAAAAGTTTAAACTGTCAGTGGTTAAGATTAAATTCGTTTAGAACTTTGTTTAATTATTTAAGAACCCCATTTTTAAAATGTGTGCTTAAACTACTGAAAAACTCCAAATTGGTGTACTTTATGATCGATCTTTCATTAAAATCCAACCTAAGATTTTAGTTTATTTCAAATTCAACACGACAACTTACTCCAACTTTTGCCGGTACGTCCGAAAAAGGTTCCATCCTGGGGATCGTAGATCATTTGCGAGAAGGTTTGCTTCTTCGCTGGCTGCGGGAATTCGAATTCGCCTTTGCCGCCCTTTCCGTTATTCTTTGACATTTTGGCGCAGTTCTTTCGCACTTGTTTACGGTTAGGTTGTTAGTTTTTCGATTGGATTTGAAAATTTGTTTTATATTTTTCGTCGATGACGTGGACGGGCGCGAAGGCTACGAAAACTGATTTTCGTATACGTAGAGCAGTGTATATGCGATGATTCAGCAGACTCGGAAATGAATTCTCATTTATTTTCGCACTCGCAGCACTCTTGAATATATTTTGAAAATCTTGTAATTATGCAATTATTCGCGGTTCGAATACTCGGTCGGTCTGTACCGCTGTTAAGTGAGTTGGAACCGATTTTTGGACGCGGAAGAAGCCGGAACGGAGGCAGAAAAAACACAAACGGACTGGGGAGCCACGAGAAGTTGTTGCCAACTCTGGGTTCCGCTGCTTCCTGCGACTGCGAATGGGGATGCGTGCTGCGTGCTGCGCTCTCGGCGAAAGATCACCAACTAACCGAACGCAGCCCCAGCGAGGCGAAAAACGGAAAACAACGCCAGCGTTCTTCGCCCCTCAACACTCACACACTGGCACACCACGCGCCTGGCTCTCTCTATCTCTTGCGTTCTCCCAACAAAAGCTTCAAGATAAGAGTGATGTGGCACTGAAAGAAACCGGGGGTTTTTTTCAGAGAAAACATATATTTTTTTTTGAGAAAATACAAATAATTTTTAAGGACTTTTCACTCTAAGAAGAAAAGTGGTAAAGATGGTGGGTCCTTAGAAGTGTATAAAAAAATTTAAGCTCAGCTCTGATGGGTCCTTAAGTATCTAGATTTCGACCAACTATATTACTTCCTCTTTTTTAAGAAAGAATTAGGACAAATTTCAAATTTCTTAATAATAAGTGAGCAGATTTTGTTGCATACTTTCTAGCAACACCCAAGGATTTGAGTAGTACCTGCAGGATATGAGTGATTTAATACAAACCTAATAGATTTATACCCAATAAGTTATAGTAATAACACCTTGTTGGATTAGAAATTTTTTTCTTTCATTTCTCTGTTAGTTTCTGGGAGCCTTTAGATAGACGGACGTGGCTAGATCGACTAGAAAAAAAATTCGAATCAGAAATATACATACTTTCTAGTGCATTAAAGAAGTACTGTAAATAATATTATATTTAAATTAATTAATTAAAATTTTGACAAATGTAGAATACTCCTTAGAATTTCATGAAAAGTGCAGTTGCAATATTAAACATTTTCAGTGTTGTAAGTGTGTAAGATCTTTATTTATAATTGTAGTTATAGATGTTTTCTCGCAGTGTGACGCCGACAGCTGTTGAACGTTTTCGACACTTTGCCAAGCAACAAAAAAGACCAAAGCAAAGGCATGTGGGCTATAGGGGGCGGTGGGCAGCGGGCGGCTTAGCCAAGGTGTGTGTGTATTAGCTTGTGGTTTCGTCTGTGTCTTACCTTGCCTCTCTCTGTCTCGCCTTTTCTCTCTGGCTCTTTCACTGGCTACGCAAATAGAATAAATGATTGAGTGTGCAGACAGCGGCCAGACGACAACACACCCGAGGGTGGTTGATTGGGCCAAGCAGTTTCTGCCAGTGCAGCCGAATGCTTTGTATCCAAAAGGCAGGGGCCCCACTCAACCCTCAAAGAGTTGAATGCGCTCCTGCTTTATAAATATTAAAATACAAGGCACAAAGAAAATCACACGCACACTTGCTCAGTTCTCTCCCAATCTTTCGCTCTCCCACTCTCTTTTTGACATGCGCTGAGAGTTGAGTACATTGGCTCCAATACACTCCACCCACAACCCCCGCCCCCGCGCCGCCCGCTTCACCACACTGCCCACCTCCCACCACTGTTGCTCTCATTATGCTCGCTCCCCAACAAACCCGCTTTGTTTTGCTTTTCCACGCTCTCCCAAACGGTTGGATCAGTTTTTTGGCTGCTTTGGGCCTTGGAAATTTCCACGCGGAAAGCGGGAAAACTTTCTTTGTTATTGTCCCTCAATCATTGTTCGTCGTCATCAGCATCTGGATAATGCTAATGCTGCACTGAACAAAATAATCAAGCTTTAATAAATACCTGCATTCGGCAATTTTTTTCGTAAATTATATATCTGCTATATTTATATTATTTCTTAAGATTATTTTCACTTGTCAGATTTTTATACAAATTTGTATTCCAATGTATACCCTAAATAAGAAAAAAGAGCTTACAAAATTAAGAAGTTTTATAAATAATCAAAAATATTTGTCTTACTGAAAATTAAATAGGGAGAATACATTTATAGAAAAAAAATATTTACTTCTAAAATCTATTATTTAGTAATAGAGCGCATCGGAACTATACTTTTTTTGAGTGTATGAACCGTTGCCTAGTGTCAAGAACTTTTGGATTCATTAATTCCCGCAAATGTGCACTTCCTCCTGCATGGCAACCCCCTTGCAGAACCCCAACTCCCCCAACAATGGGTTGCCATTGCCAATTTTCCTCTTGCTTGGACTGTTGCTGCTGATTATGTGTATGGAGGTGCATGGATAAATGGTCACGGTATTATGTTCATGTATCTCTGGGCCTCACTGTTGTAATCATGAGTTGATTAAATTACACTTGACAACGGCATAGTGGGTACATTATGAAGACAACTCAATTGTAAGGCGCAATTCCTGCATCTGAGTTTATTGAGTTCTCAGACGAGATGCGCCTATGGGAGTTTCGGAGAGCCGGTTATCAAAAGTCGCTGATAAGTGTGTATCTACTACCTTTTGTATCTTATCGAGATAGGATTCTGTTATTAAATTATTTGTGGAATCTAATCCAACATCAAAACTAATGTAACAAAATCAAGTATTTTCGATTCTTAGAGTATGTTATACAGATTTTTCTTATTTTAAGAACTATTTGACAAAATAAATGTATAAAATTTTAGTTAATGTACTGTGTGATATAAAAAAAATTTCAATTTTAGTTTGTGTACAATTGTAGGAATAAGTATTCCAAAAAATAGCCAGAAGTCTTTTCTCAAATATTATTTAAGAACTGTGTGACTTATAAAGTTATTGAAGCATACGTAAGAGTAGAGGTATTTGCGGTATTTTTGACATGTGTGTACAAATACCTCTTAAATGACGAATGCAAATAACACATTCGTATGTTAGAATGTTTAGAGGTTGTAACTTCATGACTTCCTCGCTTGGATTTGTCTGGTTATATCCAAACTAGTGTTGAAAGAAACTGCCTTGTCCGGCTCACGCCTCGGCTCAATTTGAACTCCAAATTAAGCAAACGTAATTACACATGACAGATCTCCCTTATCCCCGAGTACATCTTCGCACAACCAGTTCATCCTGGTACATACCGATTTTCAGCGATTCCTGTGTGCGTGAGCGTTTCGATCTTTCAATCTCGGAGAGCTTCCTCAATTGTGCCATGATTTTTTTTATTTACCGAAGTATTCTACAGCTATTTGGCTTAAGTTCTGTGGACAACGGTCTGTCATTCAACTAATTAGCTGTCAATTAGCGGGTATGCATTGTTGTCATTTTGTACATACATATCTACATACATGTGTACTAAATTGACTAAATGATACCAGTAAAGATCCACTTAAATACTCGGGAAAGCTAAAAAGTTTAAGGACCAGTGGTCATTTATCGATACTGATCTATTGACTTCAAACAAATAAAGAAAATAGTTAATGGTTAATATTTAATTCATCCATAGTTAGTTCCAATAGGTAGGAAATTATTATTTCATGGTAGAAATTAAATTATTTAACGAGAATAAGATTTTTAATAGCAGCCTGTCTTATCTTTATATGATATACATATTTGCACTTGTAGAGATTTCCTATGTATACACACAATTATAAGTTTTTGGCTCACTTGAAGAAAACTCAGAAATGCGAACGTGCTAGATTAAGCTTTTTAATTCTTTCTCAAGTAATAAAAGTTATGTTAGTGTATACTTTTCGCCCGGCATTTTAAAAATAAACAAAGTATCGAAAAGCAAACAAACGCTTCGTTAATGATTTTGAATGACGCATTTGGCCGACTTATAATTTGAACTGATAAAATTGGTTCTTACCGCATACCTACATAAATAATTATACACAAATAAAAGCGAATCGATCTGGCTTTAAGTTTATTTATCAGTCAGTGGCTGACCAGTGCCAGGTGACGGTAGAGATTCGTGTGATATCGCATTATCAACGTTATCATTATCTTATCACAGCAGGGCAACAACGTTTACGTAAATCCAAAAGTATGTCATATGCCCATCAAATAATTGTTTGGTCTATCTTAAACCGAATACTAGGTTTAGCTTTTATATAACCTAACCATCCTTTGTGTTAAATAAAACAATTTTATTTCTGACTACTTTCATTTTATTTTTATTGAAAAAGATTTGAAAGCGATTCGCGTCTCTTAGCCGTCTCAATTCAAGTAATTTTCTCAAATTTTCTCTCTTCGCAATTATTATTATGTTATAAACTTACAAATTAACCGAAGTTACATTTTTCTTGTTTCCAAATGTTGTTTTTGACCAAAGGTGTGATGTATAGAGCTTTCACGTTTGACTATGTTATTTATAAATATGGTATATTCTGAAGCTAGCTGTAAATATTAAACTTTGTTTTTGGTTGACAAAATTGGTCTGTTTTGGTTACATGTATAGCAGACTCAAAAATGAAATCTTAAAATTTTCGTTATAAATTTTAATATCTAAAGATTTCGTTTGTTGATTTATTGGAAATGGCAGTTTGGATTAATTGCTGTAAATTTGTTGCATTTGATTGGTATTATGTTCAGAGCTTAATGAGATTCAGGATTGGCTATTTTTGCCATCCCGTTCAATTATTTTCCATCTTGGTGTTCAGCTTTATAATCTAATGTGTAACTTTCATCGTAAAGTGCATACAAAATTGAAATTGAAAATTTGTATATTATAGGCATCGCAAGTCTTGATTATACTTTATGATTTAATATTTCGAAGAAATAATACAACAAAACAATTTTGAATTTAAATTACAATCGGAAATCTGAACCATTCACAATTTTTTGCTACAACATGTGGTGGTTTGCCTCTGGTAGGATTGTCTAGACGATATTCAACGACGTCCTCACCCCTCTGGTACCGAGATTCTTGCTCATCGGAGATTCTTCTGGTTTACATTATGTTATAGGTAATAGTGTTAAACATATTAATCGATGAGGAGCTCATAGTGAACCGAACCGATCCTCTCCTTGCGATCGTGTATAATGTTGCGAGCCCAAGCCTTGCACTCGACGTTGATGATGATTCCGCCTGTACAATATGAAATGTGATTAAACTAGAAGGCTGATTTAAGGATATAAGGACCACTCACGTTTGGGGCGCTGGAAGTGCACGGCCACCAAAGGACTCAAGTAGCCCTCGGAGTTCTGGTAGGGGTAGAAGTAACCGGGGAATCCCCTGATTGGCAGGTAATTGACGGCCCCAATATTCTCCTGATCGGCTGGATTCTCGCCCTCGCACGAAACCCAAATGGTGTTTAGCTAAAAAATCATTTCATTAGTCTAAAGCTTAATAATTTTGGAGTGTTCACTTACCTTTTCTGGCTGCGTCTTCTGGACCTCTCCAATGTAGGTCTTCAAGCTCAAAGGCATGGATTCGGGCAAGTCCCGAGAATCGTTGTAGTACTGTGGTACCCAGCCGTAGATCTTGTTGAGCTTGAGGAAAATGCAAGGCGCACTCTTGTGGTAGCTGTAGTTGTTTTCCTTGGTGCAGGGCGACCACGATTTGATGTCCACGTCGCAAACCTGACCCTTCGGCGGCGGCTGGTTGTAGTCGCAGTTGTAGATGTTCTGACCACGACCGGGGGTTAATCCGGGTACTTTGTAAACTGGAATGGAAATGGTAATCAGTAAAACGTTCGAAGTGCTTATTTATTAAAAGATTGAATCGTTCAGAAAATCACTCACTTACTCATTTAAAGCGAAGACTTAAAAATATTTATACAAAAAACATTTTCACTAACCCAACATTTTTAGGCTTCGTATTAGTTTAGTCATAAGAAGAATGCCTTAAATCAAGCAATCTGGAGTTTCTTTTTCTTAACTATCAGTAACTATTAACGTGGTTTAAACCGGAAGATGTACCGAAGTAAAGAACTGAACATGGAGTATATTTCCAGATCAATACACCGATCTCTTCCTAATTTAATTACTTACCCGCAAGGAAATCATCTAGGGAGTCTGTCCAGTGTTTGTAGTTCTCGTGCTGGGTGCCCTTGTACCAGATCAAAGTGCTTTCCACGTTGTCGACGGGTGGCAAGGGTCGGAAACCCAGACCTGAGTCCAAAAAGATCGATTAGAGATGCAACTAATGAATGCTTTTACGACTCACCTGGATTTGTGCCGATCAGGGAGCGGTTAAGGGTCCACTTCGGAATGCGAGGATCGAGGGTTTGGAAGAAAGCCCACATGCAGATGGCCACCAGGGCGGCGAGGACTCCGTAGAAGGCCACATAGAAAATTCCGATTTTGGCTGCGACAGGAAGAGAACGGGAAATGCTTATTGAATTACACCGATTAAAGTCGTTCCTAACAGCGATCCCGATTCGCGGTCAATTGAACCGATTGAATTAATTAATTGCCAGTGGCCCCTCGGTCGGCATGGGTTAAACCGATAATTGACGACAGCCGGCCCAAGTGGGCTATATAAACAAATGGGAACCAACCCCCAAGCTGTGCTGCTTCTCAAGTTCGGAGTGGTCGGCAAACTGACGCCGAGCTTCTCCACTGAATCATCATCCAAACATCATCCAAGAGAATTGCCCTATAAGACGGTTGCGCTCAAGAGTTATAGCCCGGTTGATGGGTGTGTGCGAGAGATCGCTCTTAGATCACAGATATAGTCACATCTCCCAACTGACATAACCTCAAATGCTCTAAGAAGTTGGTTGAAGAGAATCGTGAGCTAAGGGAAAATATAAGCCATGCTAAGGTTGGGTCGATTGGATACGCTACGTGCAACTATTTACTTGAATCTGAAGAACTACAAGGTGTGAATTTCAGGGAATTCTTGGAAAGCGTGCGCTGCTATAATTTATAGATATTAGTTTCTGGATTATCAGATCTTTTAAAATGTATAGATATTAGTTTCTGGTTTAAAAGATCTGTCAATTTTAAATAATTGTTCGAATCAAATCAAAATCAATACATGTCCAGATTACCTTTCTATGCTAATATCTTGACCAAAAAAGGCACAAGTTCAGTTCTTTGCCAAGATCTGGCCAATGCAACTAGTACATTTTCCCATATTCATATATTTTCAGCTTTGCCTCTTCCCCATTTCAGCATAATTGCATTGTGCACTTGTCTATATATAGACACTGGGCCTTGGGTTTGCCAACTTTTAAATGCCAATATTGGCGTGCCGAGGAAAACCTTTCCCGTACAATTGACGATAAACGTTGCAGCGGACAGCTTAACTAGCGGTAATTGAAGCGAACAAAAAACAAGATGCCGCATTTCCCCACCCTAATTTGTCCCCATTTCCCGAGCATCGTTACATGCAGATGTTAATTTGCTCGCCGCCTTCGAAATCTCTACACTGATTTTTACGAACAAGTGCAACTCTCGTCACCTCAGGCGGTCTAATGGGCGATACTTTCGGCAGTGCCATGCTATTAAAAATATATATTCCCTCGAAAACTGAAAGCCCGGCTCGAATTGGCGACAGCGAAATATAACTTATGGGCTTGATTTACAACGGGCATATGCCAGTTTTATGACAGGAATGCAATAAACACTGCAATAAACTTACCCCATGACGAACGATCTCGGCCCATAACAGTGCCATCCTCGGAATTATATAAGAACTGGCCGAAATGGAACGGCTTGGGCTTCCTCAAGTTGTGCAGATCCTCGTCCACAAAGGACGGACTCATTGGAACGGGCTTTGACATATTTAATTTGCTTTCGGTGGGTTTTCTTTGGATCTAAAGGCCTGTTTAGAGTTCAGTTTATGAATGACATGGAATTGCAATCAATTCGGAAATAAATATATTTTGAAAAATGAAAATTCCATGTGAAACATTAACTGAACTGCAAACGGTTGGTTCTAGCAAGCACTTTGTATATTATTGAAATTAGTTCTCCAATATATATTTTAGGAACTGAAAATTCCATGTAAAACTATAAAACTAAACTGTAAACGGGTGAAATTCTAGCTAGCACTTTGTTTTTAAATCGTAAATGTTTGTGGCGCCGCCAAAAACGAGTTGCACAGATGTACACAAATAGTATTTCAGGCGGCACGTTCAATGACACACACTTTGTATATATATTTTTTCTTTCAGAACAGTTTGGCTCCTTTTTCGCTCTCTTAATTCCACCGACTCTCCGACCCTAATTTACAACCCTCGGGTTGTGCAGAAAAGTTGGCGCCTTTTTTGGCTCTCCGGGCTGAATGAACTGGCTACAACAGCCAAGGAACAGCGAAGTGCATCCGTCAGATACAACCTGCAACTGGTTGGGCTGGAATGGGCCAAAAGGGGGGCCACAATGGGCCTCAATGGTGGGGCTTGGTGAGTTGGGCGACTTAGTCGGTGGGCGACATGGTCGCATTTCCGCGTCTGCAGTGCGGCATTGAACCGGCATTGGCGAACTGGCAGATACAAAAGTATCTGCATATCCGTTCTTTATTTAAGCACATATATTCACAATGCATGGTATATTTTGCAATTTCCTTCTTATTTTTGCCTCGAAACCAAGCGAAACCACCACAACAAACCAATGCTGCTTTGCTCTTAGCAAGCAAAGCAAATGAGCATTTGTATCTGTATCTCTTAGCTGGCGCTCTTAACGCTTGGCCACATACAAACAACCACACCTTTTTGAAGAAATATCGGAGCGTTCTTTAAGACTGTGCTTGGAAATAATTCTTTTCTTCTAAAAAAAATTCACTACTTTATGGTCTTGTGTGCGTGCGCGTGATGGAATTTTCATTAATTTTCAAGGACTTTTCCCTTCATATTTCACTGAAAGGAAAGCAGGGGAAACTTCACTGAACGGACCACAAACTCTATTCAATTTGTTGTTTGCAAACGAAGCGCGTTTCGACCACGTTACGAGCTCTCCGTGACACGTTTGGTCGCCGCTCAAAACAAATTTCAGACTGAAACCCGAATCTGATGTCTGTCGATACGCAGGCCAAACAACACAGACTTTGGCTTTGAGTCTGTTTGGCTTGTTTCTTTTTTTTTAATTCTGGTCCGGTTTGTATGACTCAAAGTGCGGCTCTCTCGAGCCGAGTATTGTTTTGAGTGGAAAAGGCGAAGCGCTTTTGGCAGCACTGCATTCCCAACCGAGTGGAATCGGATCTGGGATCGGTCGGGTTTTCCGGACCGAGATTGGGTTGCGTTCTAATTGCCGTGGAAAAGCTGCCTCCTTGTGCACTCGTTTTAATTAGGCGGTGCCGCCGATTGTCGATGCTACTACTGCAGTGCATTTAGCGAAAATTTCCCGCGCTTCGATTCTAGAACCATGGGCACACTGAGAAAAACAGCAGTGGGCGAGTATTTTCCCTTGATTGAGACGAAGCTTGCCAGAGAAAAGTATTTAAACTAAATTTAAGGAGTATATTTTATAAATATTCATTGGATAAATTTAAAATCCTTGGTCATATCGATCCAATACAACCAATTAAAAAAAAGTTCGGGGGAAAGGCAACCAGAAATATGGCTCATTTAAATATCACTGGCACGCAAATAAAAGCATTTAAGTGATTACGCTCAAATCGGGGGACTGGGGAAAGAACTGGTTTAAATGCGGCCACAGGATATTCGGAGAAGTAGGACAAGCTGAGAGTTGCTATACATACACGCACAGGGGTGGTTTTCACAGGAGAACACTCCGTTCCTCTGGCTAGCAGCTCAGATGAAGTCGAATTCAAGGGACCATCAAATGCGTACGATGACGGTCAGCGTAATAGGGCAACTTAAGTGGAAGGTACTACACTGATAAAAAAAATGGAATAGTCATAGCAGTATTGAATTCAAAATATCGTATTAATAATTTGAACTGAATACAAAATGCGTACAATAATGGTTAACGTAATAAAGGAACTACTTAATATTAATGGTCATTTAATTATGTGCTTTCCATTTGTAATGCAATGATCTTAATCATAATTTGTATTGTATTCTACTTTTGGTAAACTAGATGCATCTAAATCTTTCAATAAAATTCTAAAGAATAAGATTTATAGTACATTTTTAAAAGCATTATAAATATGGGCTTCCAGTTTAATAGGGTAATAAGGTAGTTACTCCTAAAATTTATTTTAAAGTGGACTTTTCGCCCTTTTTCCTAAGAGTGGCAGGGGCTAAAAACTAAATTACTTTCTAAATTTTATACATGGTTTATATTGTATTCTACTTTAAAATAGGGTAATCAAGAAATTTAATTTGGTATCCACTCAGAAAAAACTTCGTTTTCCTAAAATGTATTTACCCATCATTTTGGCTAGCCGCTCAGATGAAGTCGAATTTAAGGGACCATCAAATGCGTACGATGACGGTCAGCTTAATAGGGCAACATAAGGGGAAGGTACTACACTAATAAAAAATTGAATAGTAATAACAGTATTGAATTCAAAAATTTGGTATTAAATGATGGGCAACACAATAGGGCAACTACTTAAGTTTAATGGGGCTTTAATTATGTCCCCTCAATTTGTAATGCTCTTGTACATATGATTTGTATAGTATTCTACTTTTGGTAAACTAGGTGCGATATAATTAAATGCAACAAGATCTTTCAAAAAAAGAAAGCATACAATTCTTAATAAGATAGTTAATTTTTAAAAGCTTTATAAATATGGACTTCCAGTTTAATTGGGTATTAAATAAATTTAATTTTGTATTTACAAACATCGTTAAGGTAGCTTTTCCTAAAATGTATTTAACTATCACTTTGGTTTGCTCATATACATGATTTGTATTGAATTCTATAACTATTCGATATAATTCGAGTATTTAAAATAGAAAGAATAAAGTTCTTAGAAATAAGATATATAGTTCATTTTAAAAGCTATATAAATATGGACTTCCCGTTTTAAATAGGGTAATAAAGAAATTTAATTTTGTATTCACTCAAACATCGTAGTAGAGTGGACATTTCGCAACCTTTTTCCTGAAAGCGTTAGGGGCTGAAAGACTAGTTTGCGGAGAACTCATGGACTGATGGTCATAGCAATTTCGACTCGTCTAGTGATGCTGATCACTGTGTAATATAATGAGGAATATATATTTACTTCAAAACAAACGGAAAGTTCTAAAAGCTGAAAAAAGGACAATAGGACAGTTCTGGACCGCATAACCAAATCACTCGTCCAAATCCTTGAACCTGGTTAGAGTACCATCCATACGGGAGGCCTGGCTACGACCTTCCACCTAAATCAGAGGTGGTTCTGGAGAACGCTGGCGGGTTCACCACGGGCTGATTGCATAATGGCATAATTGACCGATATTGCGGCACAAGTGCCCCAGCAGAGGGGCCAACGTAGCGCAAACGCCATTGGGCGGGCAATAAAAAACGGACACGGACTCGAAAACGGCGGGAGGCCGGTAAATAGATACATCCACCCACATCCACAGTAATCTGCATTCGCCGTCAGCGCTAATGCGACGACAAAAGAGATTCTCTTGATTAAGGTCAGACTTTCATCAAGACTCTTCTCGACTGTCGACCGTTACTACGTTTACGTAATCCAAGATTTAAGATTTAAGACTCGTAGAACTCACCCCAACTGTCTATGGATCGTCCAAAGTAGGAGTTGTCCTCCGAATCGTAGACCATCTGCTTTAGGGACTTCTTCTTGGGCCTCTCGGGGGGCCTTGAGTAATACTGTTGGAATCCATCTATGCAATCCTCGGTTATGGTCGGCATTCTTCCGCGCTTTGGCAGCTGGCGCTTCCTCAGTTCAGCGGCTATACGGGATGGGCTCCGAAACGGGTGGGGATCGGTTCGGTATCGGTAATGACAACGGCAAAAAATAACAGCTAACGGCAAAAGTATCCAAAACGAGCTCCTCTATCTAGATATCTTATGATCCGTGTTGATCCCGGGCAAGGCTCGGTCGGCGTTGGTCTTCGCCTGGGCTTACACACTGGGAACGCTTATGGGATATGATGGTGGATACTCTGTAACACTATGAATTTGCGCCGCACACGACAAGTTGACACCGCTGTGCGCCGCGCGACACTGATCTGAATTTGACAAAGAAAGACCAAGCAACGCCGAACCGGGGGTTATGTAGTGTCTGAATATCTGAAATACGCAAGAGTCAGGCTTAATCAAATATTTTGTGCATGTGTGCGGAAATACGCGCTGCGGCACCGAAATCGGGCATGGGGATTGGGACTGAGATTGGGGACTTGGATGCCAACCAACCAAAGTTCCAGTCTTAAACCGTGAAAGACGCGCGAGTCGCGGCGCGTGACACAATTTTCATTTAATTGAAGACTAAGATCGCGGGCACTATCATGTACTGACCGAGTGACAAATCCCAACCCCGGACGGGCGAAAATTAACTATGATGATCATCCCACTAATTGCCGCATGAAATATGGCTTCCTTTGGCACTGAGCACATTTTGCATTTGAAGTTAAGCCCCACCGATGGGCAGGTGAACTGTTTGGTATGGGATGGGGATGGGGATGGTATGGTACGCGATTGAAAACACTTCCGATCTTAAGATGGGCCCGCTGGCCGTCACTATTATTTAATTCGGCTGATATGGGGCTGCGTTAATAATAGTTAAGTACCATTTCCCGTCTTACGCCCACCGAAAAATCTTAGCTATGTGCATTAATTAAACGCCGTTACGTCAGGCTGAAAAGTTACTCTTCGACCATATAGAACATGTAAAGAAGCTTAAAATGTCGCTGCATTCGTAGCTTTAAACAAAAAAAAGTCTTCGAAATGCAATCCAAAAAGCGTGGCAAACTTCAAACGGATAAAATTCAAATTTGAAATTTAGTTTTATCGGAAAATGGAAAACTATCGATTGTATCGACTAACTCTTATCAGTTTGCCGTCTCGCTGACGCCACCTGGCCAGACTGCGACGGTACCACTGCCGAAATAGTGCGTCTCCGCTTATTCAATCCCTATTGCGCCGCTAGGTGTCGCTAATGAAATATTGATTTTGTTTTAATTCTTGGATTTACATTCACGTGTAATTTACATGTAATGTAAGAATATTTTAAAATTTCTCAGAAAGAAGTGAAGAAAGTGGTGAGGGGTTGTTGCTATGCAGAATGGGGGTTAAAGAGAAAGACGATGTTGGTGTTACCAGCTCAGGAAAATTATGACTCCTGTTCATGAAGAGGAAGAACACTTGGCGCCTGGATTCAAAAAATATTAAATTTTTTAGCTTTTTAAAAGTGTAGGTTCAAAAAATAGAAGAAAAAAGGGAGAGAAGGTCGTAACAATTTTAAAAAGAAATAGTTAAGGACACCTAATTCACCGATACGCATTTAAGCTCTTCATCTAGTTCTAGCTCCATGCCCACTTCACTTCAGAATCATTCATGGAAGGAAGGAATCATTTAAAAACTCTTTTAAAGAAACAAAGTATTTAGATGAAATTAGAAGATGCGATTTTGGCAGATTAAAGTTAGAGCTTAGAAAAACTGATATGGAGATAGACATCATCAAAAAAAAAAAAGTGATGAGGATCGTTAGCTTATTTAGCAAGCTGCTCTAAACAGTCGGTCTTTTAGCTCTACGCCTTGATTTGGCGAAACTACGATTAAGACACCACTAAAAAATGTAGTAATGAGTGCCATTGGAATTAAAGTTAGCGTTAAAGTCACCAAAGACACCGTTACGATCAGGAAGATTGTAAGGGTCGTCTTCTCTACCATTGTGCAAGAAATGTTTGAGCTCCTTGAATTTTAATTAGAACCAATTTATTTATACTCTTTAGTAACAGGACGATCGAAATTTAAGAATATGTAAAACACAACCATAAGCACGAGAAACAAGATTAGTATAACGATGGCTAGAAGAGTTGTTAGCTTCTTTGTGTCCATAACTTCTTACGTTTTGTAAGTTAAGTTTTGATTTTCACGACTTGACGACAACTGCGATACACATACGACTGACTGACTAAACGAGCACGATGCCAAATGTAATACTCACTTAAAAACGACGTCCAAATCCCAGCATATAACCCCTGTCTCCCCGGATGAGTGCCATTGGAATTAAAATTAGCGTTAAAGTCACCAAAGACACCGTTATGACCAGGAAGATTGTAAGAAGGGTCGTCTTCTCTACCATTGTTCAAGATTTTTTTGAGCTCCTTGAATTTTAATTAGAACCAATTTATTTATATTCTGGAGTAACAGGGCGATCGAAATTTAGGAATATGTAAAACACAACCATAAGCACGAGAAACAAGATTAGTATAACGATAGCTAGAAGAGTTGTTAGCTTCTTTGTGTCCATAACTTCTTACGTTTTGTAAGTTAAGTTATGATTTTCACGACTCGACGACAACTGCGATACACAAACGACTGACTGAATAATCGAGCACGACGTCAAAACGTATACGCAACTAAATCGAAACTTAAGTCTGAGAACGTTTGATGCCTAAAAATCCGGCAGGCCCAAGGTTTAAGAGGTTACTTTGATTTAGTTGTACGATACTTACGATTTTTAGCGCTCAGCCGGGGACTCCTCGCCTTCCCCGGGAGACTCCTCGGCTTCTGGCTCGGTATCTGGCTCATACTCAAACTCCGTAATTGTCATTGGAGCAAACGTGAAGCGCGTGGTTGGAGGAGTTGTCGAATGGGTTGTTTGGTAAGGATTGTCGATTATGAAGTAAATGAAGAGCAAATTCAATAGGACAAGGCACAGAATTACTGTTATGCCAATTAAGGCTATGACCATCTGCTGATTCATGACTTATTAATTGCGAAAGCCTAAAAGGTTTCCGGGGTGGAATTCTGCAATTGGTTTTTCTTCTGTTTTCGGGGGTCCACCGAAAGAGCCTTCGACTGGATCCTAGGAAAAAAGATATTTATTTGTTGGTAAATCAGATTTTTGTATTGCCCGAGTAAAATGAAATAATAATGTGTTGAAAGTGATATGATCCGAAAGTCAAGGCGTTCTTTGTTTTGAATAATACGTTCATGCTATTGTCAAGTCCCATTGCGGTAGGCGCAAGATTTAAATTTTATCAGTGACAAGGGACCGTCTAAAGTATATATGTTTATTATAAGCATACGAAATTGAGCAATGGCAGTTTTAGCAATTCGTATTTATTTCTGAAACGGTATTTAGGGTATACTATATCCCCTACTTGCCATTTACATTAGAAGAAGCGTGGCAGACGAGGCTAGTTCGACTCGGCTAGTGATCCTGATCAAGAATATATATACTTGATGGGATCGGAAACGCTTCTTTCTGCCTGTTACTTACTTTTCGTCGAATCTAATATACCCTTTTACTCTACGAGTAACGAGTATTATAACTATCTAAATGGTGAAAATCGTACCTATCGCGTTGATATTTGAAAAGTAATGAATTACTATGTTAAACAGGTACCGCTTCCGTCCGCTAGGTGCCGTGCAACTGACCTGGAGTTTTATTTTTTACATTCTTTTTGTTTTTTTACATTCGAATAATTAGTACCTGAAATCTGTTGACATACGCAATTTTCGAAATATTCAATGTTGCAAACGATAGCGGTTTTAAAATAATTTTAAAGCAATTTCTGGTTATTAGAAAACTATAGAGAGCATTGAATTTGGATCACTTTTCCCGGCCGAGTAAAGAGGGGGGAACTTCATGCCCTTTTGTTAACCCAATTATTGACATGGAGTTACAATCGCTATTATATGTATAATGTAATGAATAATGATTAAATTTAAAAGATTCAGAGCTGTTGTTACTGCCTTGCAGGCTAGGAATAAACCGTCTTTCAGAGCTACAAAATCAGCTAGAAGAAGATTATGAATTTGACTCCGTATTGAAGAATAAATAAATATTCCTACCTAATTTTAGTCCGTAAAATGATCTTTGCAAACGAATAAAAAAACTTGTGAGCAATAGGTATTGTTTTTTTTGGCTTAGCCATTCTTACCGGACGCCTTGCCATTTGTTGAACTTCTCTTTTGTATCTTACGTCCAGGCAAATATACGTAATAAGAAGAATGTCAATAAGAACAAGTACACCTATAATCAGTGAAAAAATTACTATTAACTTTTTGTTCTCCATTTTTGTAGTAGTAGTATATAACAATTTTTAAAATTTTTGAGCGAGTTTAAATTTGTTTGTATCAGTTGCTTCAATTGTGCTTTCCAACTAAATAAATAATTTGACTGATTTTGACAGAAAAAATACGATAGCTAGGATCTCAGCGAACAATGACTGATAACTGATTTAATCAAGTGACTCTTGTATAATATAAAAATTAAATTTCAACGATAACTAAGCAGATTTTAGGTGGCTAATTTACCAAGAACTGAAGAGTGTTAAATAGATATTATTATTAACTTTATCGACAGGCATTTTTAAACTGGCTCTGGAAACTTTTCTTTTGAAAGCCACTAGGAACGACAAATCTGAGATATAGCAAGCTGAGATCGTAGGAAAAAGCCATCTAACTTTTAAATGTGTGTACACTGTACATATATCAGTATACCTATTCCTTTACGTTCCAAGGGTTTGCCTTGCCTAACTGTAGATTTTGAAGTTATTTAAGGTGGACGTATTTAAAAATATTTGGTAAGTTGAAAATCCATGTATTTATGTGTTGATAATGCAACAAAGGCTTTTTTCATTTTGCAGGTGCTGCTGGCCTTAACAAATTTAACAATGACGGGACCTCAGACAATCGCAGTTTATGGGCTAATCGGCGTTTTGATCATCATCATTATAATCATTTCTATTATTCTGATCGTCGGACTGTATACTAATGATCCAAATCGAGGCACAACTGCAAATATGACGACAACTGAGGAAAACTGGAAGACTTCATGAGCGGATGCTAATTAGTTGGATGTCTACATGTACATATATTTCGGATTAAAATGCTTTGTGTAATGGTTTCTGGTGTAGAAATACAAATACATTTTTCTTGTAAAGTAATCTTTTGGCATGTTATTCTCCCCTAATTTGGGGTTTTAAAGGGGCTTAAACAAATTGTAATCTAAGAATTTGCCGCTATTGCAGTTACAGTAATGGAAATAATCATTGCTTAATATTTTTACAAACATTGCAACTTAAATGATAGGATTTTGGCGTTTGCGTAACGTCGGCAGATAGATTACCCGATAAACCAAAGCCTGTTGATTACAACCCAACCATCCAGATAAGATATAATTTAATTTTATTTAAATTTATTTATTTAATTTAAAGCCTAAATAAGTACAAAATGTGTCAAATGACGGTTCTCCGTTTTCGATTAGTTCCCAACCAAAATACGGCAGCCAAAAAAGGTGGGGTCACTCGTCTGCACGTCAGTTCCATATGTAGAATTTTCCAAAGCCACTTAGAAGCCACCTGCAGGATGATATCAGTAAGAATGGATGAATAGGTCAGCAAGTAAAACTACTTACAGGTGGAAAGTGTAGAGTGGGTGGGATAAGTAGGGAGTTCCGGAGCCTAGCAACAGCATTTGGGTGGGGTATTGTAGCAGTGGGCCTTACACGGTGCACACCAAACACACGGTGCGTTATCCTTATTCACTAGGTAGCGTTTGGGGCAGGGTGCTTCAGGAGAAGGTTAGAGCGTTAACCCACGGTCTTAAGATCCCAAGGATGAAATATATCCAGTGCTGTGGCACGCACAGCTGCCGCATCTGCCATGTGCTACTTCTTTAAAGCTTTTCCATTTTAAGATGCTCCATCGGACGGACAGACGGACGGACGGACGGACGGACCGGCGGACAGACCGGCGGACGGAAAGACGGATGCGACACAAGATTGGTAGATTCGGGTTGGGGGGTGGTCACGCTTGCGCAAAGCCAGACTTACATGGATACGTTGGGGGCGTGTTATAGTAGTTCCAGACACGCGGATCGGGAATGCCACCCTCGGGCAGCGGAGGACAGCACATGCCCGGGGCAGGGGAGCACGGAATGGGCGACGGGGCTCCACAGGGCGGACTGTGCGGGCCACAGCAGGGCGTTTCGTTACAGGGTCCACAGCATCCACATCCGTTACACATCTTGGGTTCTTTTAACGCTGCATGCAGAGAAATAAGAAGATATTTAAAGAGAATAACTGCACACTCACTATTTTGGTTGAACTAATTTCGAAAACAAAAATTTAGAATTTTGATAAATTTAGAAGCCGAAACGACTGGTCCGAGAGTCTGGTATCGAATGAGGATAGCCTACGGTTCGGCCTACAATATCCTGTTGACGTTTCCATTTTGACTTTGGCTAATTGTCAGGGCCAACTTAATGGATTCTCGTGCCTTATGGTTTCAATAATTCTAAAAATAGAAACATTTCAATGTTTTGCAAACTTTGTTTAACTTTCTTGTATAAATATATATGTAAGCTGGTGGATTGGACATAGGTGGGCAGTCCTTATAACGCTGCGTTCTAAAATGATATTCGATAGTCCATCACCATCAGCCGAATCAAGATACAGAGAAGTTGTGAAAAAAGTCGTTGGTCGTAAAGTAATAATTTTGGTCGCAAAATCAGTTGAAAAGTCGCGTTAATCAATATCAAAACCTATGTAACTCTTATATGTACAAACTATTATATTCCTAAACTTTATTAATAAACTACAGGTAATATCCAATTATCTTACATATATATCACATATATCATATATATTTACATAAGTCTTAAAGCTTCTGTTTTTTGTCCAACCAAAGTAGGCCAAGAGAATTCACAAAGTTGGCCATGACATCCAGCCAATGCCGAACCGGAAACGTCAACCGGACGTTGTAGGCCGTGTGTGAAGCTATCCTCATTCGATACCAGACTCTCGGTCCAGTCGTTTCGGCTTCTAAATTTATCAAAATTCTAAATTTTTCTTTTCGAAATTAGTTCAACCAAAATAGTGAGTGTGCAGAAATTCTTTTTAAATATATTCTGATATATCTTTTCATGCAGCGTTAAAAGAACCCAAGATGTGTAACGGATGTGGATGCTGTGGACCCTGTAATGAAACTCCCTGCTGTGGCCCGCACAGTCCGCCCTGCGGAGCCCCGTCGCCCATTCCGTGCTCCCCTGCTCCAGGCATGTGCTGTCCTCCGCTGCCCGAGGGCGGCATTCCTGATCCGCGTGTCTGGAACTACTATAACACGCCCCCAACGTATCCATGTAAGTCCGGCTTTGCGCAAGCGTGACCACCCCCAACCCGATCCCACGAAACCGTCTGTCTGTCCGATGGAGCATCTTAAAATATAAAAGCTTTGAAGGAGGAGCACGTGGCAGGTGCGGCAGCTGTGCGTGCCACAGCACTGGATATATTTGATCCTTTGGGTCCCAAGACCGTGGGTTAACGCTCTAACCTTCTCTTGAAGCACCCTGTCCCAAACGCTACCTAGTGAATAAGGATAACGCACCGTGTGTTTGGTGTGCACCGTGTAAGGCCCACTGCTACAATACCCCACCCAAATGCTGTTGCTAGGCTCCGGAACTCCCTACTTATCCCACCCACTCTACACTTTCCACCTGTAAGTAGTTTTACTTGCTGACCTATTCATCCATTCTTACTGATATCATCCTGCAGGTGGCTTCTAAGTGGCTTTGGAAAATTCTACATATGGAACTGACGTGCAGACGAGTGACCCCACCTTTTTTGGCTGCCGTATTTTGGTTGGGAACTAATCGAAAACGGAGAACCGTCATTTGACACATTTTGTACTTATTTAGGCTTTAAATTAAAATATATCTAATTTTATACAATCTGGATGGTTGGGCTTTAATCAACTAATTTATTATCTATTGTACACTGTTGCGAAAAGTTTAAAACTTACGATACATGGAGGAATCGGCCATAGTTGCTAAAACTATCGGCCGGATTAAATTATTAACTTCAATTATAATAATTACAATTCTTATCGGACCACTTATAAATTATAATCAGAACATAAACCCATTTACACTTTTACAAAATAAAATGTGTTGGCATTAGACAGGTTTTAGCGTTATGGATGTTTGTGGGCGTTAGAGTTGGCGTTGCACCATGTCAAAATAAACTTGCACAGCGCAATTTTCTCAAGAAGCCTGAAAACAAAAAAAAACTCCATGCCAAGTCCCAACATTGTAGCTTTTGTTGTTTCCGAGATCTCAACGTTGATACGGACGGGTCGGAAACGCATCCTACAACCTGTTACATACCTCCCCTGGAATCTAGGATTATATACCCCTAACTTTATTATACTCACTAACAGGTCAATATTGGCAATACATACCAGGAACATTTTCTTTATCCATTGATTTTTGAAATATAAATAATTCGTTTCCCCAGATATTTGTTTTTAATTTGAAATAAGCAAAGTATACCTTTTTGTCGTTTGCTAATTTTTGGGTTAATGCCAACTACTGTAAGATAGTAAAAATCAAAAACCTCACACCCCTTTTAACCAGCCCAAAAAGTAAATGCTGGCCACAGATTAAAACAAGGAAAATAATTGTAAATTAAATAATTTTGTATAATTTATTGCCAAATAAGAGTCCAAATACCTACAAATGATTTTGCGCTTAAATCAAGACTGATGAACGAATTTCACAATGATGCTCCACATGTTCTCTGCCGTTCGAGGGTTCGGATTTCCCCACCGATATTCATCTTGATTTAAGCCACCTTCAATTATCAACCGAAACTGCGCCACACAACAACATGCCCCGCCAAAGGAGTGGCACGTCAGGATCCGATCGCAACACTTGCCAGGAACTACTTAGAAACCACCTGCGGGATGAGATAGATAATAAGCAGTGAATTGGACATATATCGCAACTACTTACACGCGACGGGATGCGGAGGGATTGGGGGCTATAACTGGGTGATTTGGTGGAGGCCAGCCATCGCGGTGATCCTGACTCAGGACTTGCTATCCTTGTTGGGGGGTTAGCCTTGTGGGCATGAAGCTTCTGCAGGAGGTAATCAGGTAATTAGGACAGCCGCTATGGGGCTAATCTTCCAGATGCTGTGGCCTGCACACTCGCCGCTTTAGGGGTCTCTCTTGGACGGACAGGCGGACGGACAAACGGACAAACGGACAAAACGGGGACTAGGAGTACGGACGAAGCCCTGGACCGGACTTACATGGGTACGTCACAGGTGAGTTACAGTAATTCCAGACACGCGGATCGGGAATGCCGCCTTCGGGCAGCGGAGGACAGCACATGCCCGGCGCAGGAGAGCAGGGAATGGGTGACGGGGCACCGCAGGGCGGACTGTGCAGGCCACAGCAGGGAGTTCCGATGGGATTACAGCAACATCCGGGACCGCATCCACAGCATCCGCCGGCAGCTCGTCCGCCACATGCACCGCCGTTCGGAGCTCCAGTGGCCGCACAGCGCATCCTCTTGTTGTTCACGCCCATCATCATGTTGGCATAGCGCAGGGGAAAGGCCGCCGGACCGCAGGTGGGGAACGGGAAGCACAGGCAGGCGGGTCTGCCCTGGCAGGCGGACCGCGGACACTTGTCCTGCAGCCCGTTCCGCTTCACGCAGTCGCAGGTGGTGTACATGATGCCGCAGCGCAGCTCCCGACTGCGGCATCCACGCGGCTGGAAGGGAGGTTAGAGTGGAGGTCAGTTGGTCAGCAGGTCAGACCGCTACTCACCTCCAACGATCCACATCCGTCACACATGTTGAGCCCCTCGAGTGCTGCAGAACAACGGATTAAACGTATACCCCCTAGTATTCGAATTTAACTTACTTTATTTTGGCTAAATTATTTTCGAAAGATAATTTTGAATTTTGAAATTTTAGAAATTTTAGAAATTTAGAAGCTGGCCGAAACGAAAGGTCCGAGGGTTAGAAATCGAATGGGAATCACTACCCACATCCCCATATCATATTCGGTTGCCTTTGAGCTTATTTGCAAGGCCTACTGGGCTTCAGTAAATTTAAATAATTTAAAGACTGGAATTTACCTTTTAAGGTCCTAAATACATTATGAAGAAACTTCATAGAAAGGAAAATTACAGGAAAAACATCCACACCATTTGTAATATTTTGTAAATAGTATATAGTATGTTTAGTTTTTGAAAGAATATTTAAAATATTTTTTTTTGCGGGGGCACTGCACTTAAATGCATATATCCTATTATAATCTGTATAATCCCTGAGCAACAAGCCAAGAATCTCTCTCTTTGAAAGCTCTGTTATCAGCTATTTATTATATGAATATAGCTCTCAGATCTGCCTAGAAGCCTGATAAGCGGTTCGCTCATCAGTTTGTAGTTAGTTTCCAAGTTGATCGGATCGCAGCAATGTCGAACATTGCAGTTATCGGGGCAGGGGTGAACGGTGTGTCCAGTGCCATTAAAATATTGGAGCACTACAAATCCGAGGCAAAGACACCGATAAGGGTGACGATTTTATCGGAGGCCTTCTCGCCAAATACGACAGGAGATGGGTCGGCGGGTCTCTGGGGACCCTATCTACTGGGCGGCACTTCGCAATCGAAAGTCTAGTAAGTACTTGTAATAATATATATTATATATTTTAAATGCATTATAAAACCTATTTACAACAGCAAATGGTCGAAGAGTATGCACAAATTTCTGGAGGAGATCTGGTTGAGTGGGGATGCCGGAGAGGCTGGCGTCTGTCTGCTGCCCTGTATTCGCCTGACCACCTCTCCGGCGGATACCGTTGGAGATTTCTGGCGTGATATTGTCTATGGAGCCATGGATCTGTCCCAGAAACAGCTGGCTGAATACAATCAAGGCCGCAGGGTTAAGTTTACGTAAGGATAAGAGTTTGATTTAACAAGTTAGTCGCCAATATGGCACCATTGCTATAAGGTCTCGATCCCAAACTCAAGAATATTTAAACTAAATCTTTTAGTTACTATTTTGGACTCGAATTATTATTATATTATTTTAAACACTCCGATTGGAACTATGCAAAATACAAGTTGGATCCTTACAGCGTTTTGTTAAACAACAGATATTTATTATAACAACAATACTTGCAGAATATTCGGTTTAGGTTTATTATTTTATCTAAAGTTGATCGCTTTTAACATTATTTAGCTAGGAAGTCTCAGTACCAATAGTTACAATTATTTGGTGTATTGACCTATTGACTATTTCCAGGTCTGGCCTATCTTTCATTACCTACACCTCGGAACCCATTAAGCTTCTCCCGTATTTGATGAAGCGTTTCGCCCGGAACGGTGGTGCAGTTGTCCGGAAAAGGATAACCGATCTGGATGCCTTTGTCGCAGATTCCGAGTACGATGTGATTGTCAACTGTTCTGGATTGGGTTCCCGAACTCTACTGAAGGACAACGACATGTACGCAGTGCGCGGACAGGTTTCCCGGGTGAAGGCCAACTGGATTTTCTCGGCCGTGCTGGATGAGAGTGACGATGGCCACTACATTATACCCAAGTAAGTAACAGAGCTCAAGTAATCCAATGGCACTTCTATAGCATCAAAATCCCAGCACTGAGACCGTAGTCCTGGGCGGAACCCATCAGGAGCGGGACTATAACACCCAGGTCTGCCCAAAGGACAAGAAGATCATTGTGGAGGGCTGTTGCCGTTACGTTCCTGGTCTGGAGCACACTGATGTCGTTTGCGACTGGGTGGGTCTCCGTCCAGGTCGCACCGAACTGCGTCTGGAAGCCGAACGCCGGGGAAGTAAGCTTCTTATCCACAACTATGGTCATGGCGGCAGCGGGGTCACCTTGTGCTGGGGCTGTGCCGACGATGTCCTTGATATCCTGCTGGCGGCCGGAAATGGTTCCAAGTTGTAGGCCTACACCCTATTTTAAATAAATTTAACAGCCCCTTATATCTTGCACTTACCTTAATGGATCAATAAATAAAAGTCTTATCTTAGTAACTTTGAATTAAAAGATAAACATAAATCTCTAATATTTAAAAAATTAAAAATTGTGTTCCAAATATTTATGTTTGATTTATTATATTTTTGTTCCATCTAAACATATTTACAAAATTTTCCTTTGTCGGACTATCTGACCACTTTTCGCCGTGTAGGCATATGGTATTATTATTATCGCAAAGGCATGGGGATCGTATTGATAGGCTTATCAACGACCGCTTGGAAACGTTCCCTTATCTCCCCTCTAAAAATCGCAATCTATGATTGTGACTGCACTAAAGTTCTTGTAGATGGGAGGCTGGGGGAATTTCGAGGGTAGAGCCCAAAAGTAGGCAGACATGTATTTAGGGATGGCACAAAGTAAAACAGCTCAAAACTCGTCGTCGTGTCGTTTTTCGGCAGCCTCCTTGGCCAACCTGGCATCCAGAGCCTCATGGAACTCCTCGAACCCGGGCATATCGACATACTTCAATATCGGGGTAACTGGGAGTTCGTAGAGCAGAGCGTACATCTCGTCCAGCTCACGCAGGATGTCAAAGGGTCGGGTATTGCCCACCTTGTAGATCGAGTAGATGGTCCGACCGATCTCGTCATACTCAATCATACTGGTGGCCTCCTGGTCCACGGAGCTCAGGGCGATGAAACTCACCCGGGGCATGTGCATGTGCTGGGCCACATACCCAAAAACGTCGAAAATGGTCATCAGGAAGTCCCTATTGAAGTACAGCTCATCCGGAAAGGCGATCTCGTGGACGATCAGCGAGTCGTAGGTGGTGATGCCCAGGTTCTTCTTGGTCGCATCGATTAGCTTCTTCTTCATCATTATGATCTGCTGGAACAGATTTCTGGGCAACGAGGAGGGAAAGAAGACCCTGTGAGGAGTATAACAATGAGTAAGTCTTCTTACAATGGGCTTAGTAATTATATCATACCAGGAGTGCCATTCCTCGGTCATCCATTCGAGCAATCCCACTGCCCTTATCTGCGTTTCATCTTCACTGATCATCATCACCGAGCACTCGTTTTGCAGAATGTGCCGCACATACCTTTAAAACATATAAAATAATATATATATATATATAATATATATTTCAAAACTACAACAACAATTATTGTTTATTAATCCAGTATTTTTTTGTACTTGGAATATGTCTCCTTCATGTCCGGCAGATCGAACAGTCCCAGACTCTCGTAAACCAGGCTTTTCAGAAATGATTGGCTCCACATAAACTCGATCACCATGTCATAGTACCTAGAAATATTTTACAAATAAGCTCTCACTTTCCACTTTACTAGGGTTTTACATGCTTTGAGTTAATGTCAACTATTTGCATCCCCTCGAAAACATCCCACTGAATGTCGAATCGCAATGTGCGGATATCATCCATTGCAGATAAGTCACTTTCAATTTGTGAAAAGCACTGAAGATTTGGTTGATTGATACAAATTTAAAAGATACAGGCCAAATACCAGAATTTAAATCTGAAAGTACCTAATATTTTTACAAAAAATGAAATAAAGAAAAGCAAAGCATACTTTTTGGGTGGTTGAAGACGATTAGTTAAGGGTTCTCCACAACCAAACTTAAATACTTTATTAAATGTACAGAATTAAGTAAGGCCTATTGTTGGACAGCATTATTTAGTTTATTCTTATTAGTATTAGTATTACCTAGCTTTATGCTTTATAGAAACCTTCATTTCAGTGTTTTATGTATTGAAACCTAATAAGCTAAAGCATACTTCTTTGATGGCACTCATATTGCTTGTAAAACTGTTTAGCATATATTTTTCCGAATGCGATGATATTAAATGATACTTTTCATATACAAGAGAAATAACCGTAAATGTTTATTTGTATAACAAAATGCAAATTTTCTATTTTGAATAATGTCATAATTAAGCGTATATACAGGCGGTAAGAATCAAGGGAGATACGTGTAAATTTAATTTGTCTAATGTCTCAATTTGAATAAATTGCCACCACATAAAAGCAAATGCAGCCCAAAAGAATGTAAATAACAATCGCACCCATTTGTGGCTGAAATTCGGTGGAAGACCGATATAATAGAAAAGGACACGGGGGGACTGAAAGCCAAACCAAAACCACCCTAGCCGAACAAAAAAAAATTTCTAAAGTGGAGACACGTCCTGAAATACACCTTGGATTCCTTATTTTAAAATTCAAAGACCATCGGGTGTCATTTACTAGGCAACAAACCAATTGAATAACCGAATTTGGCTCGGATGCTCGGATCTTTGACAGGGGGTTTTCAACTCGCAAGGCTGAAGAATGGGGCATCCATCGAAAGACGGCGCATTTTTAAATGTTTCACATCCTCGTCCGTGAGACAATTGGATATTTAAATACAAGCGACACTTTTAATCCCTGGCATCGAATGTCGGTTGGACCACTGCCATTTGTGTTTTATGGCATTTCTATTCCGGACACGTATGCCGACGTCTCATGTCGCCCTGATAAATTCAATATTGAAAAGAAATAACTTAATTTTTGACATTCATCTACTTGGAATGGTTGATTCCTGAAGATTGGTTTAAAAGTACTTGGTTTTTTCTCTTTGGTTGGCAACTCAGATATACTAAAGACCAAGCCACGGTTTTTGAAAAACAGCGTAATACCGCCTTAGTCCTTAGTGGACTTTATGATGTTGCATAAAGTGTGTCGGGCATAAAAACGTCTCATTTGGGACTCATTTAATCCGCCAAATTGTTTGCACACACACTCGCATTTGCCACATCCTTTCTGCCACAAAAAGGTAAACGATTCGGGGCAACAACAATGGCGAATTTGAATTCATTCGAAAATCGCTTAACGTCAGCCGGATGGTTTAGCATGTTTTTCAGCACACACCTGCGTATTCCCTTGGAATCGCGACCTGGGTGGTTAGGTGGTTGGGTGGTTGGGTTTTCGAGTGGTTTGGTGGTGCCATTGTTGGCCGTGACTTGCATTCGCCAGCGACATTCTGCCGCCGCTTTCATTTAAAATCGAAAATACAAAACGAATTGAAATGCAACCGAAATGAAAAGGAGCAGGGAGGCAAAAGGTGATAGCACCGAATTTTAAATATTCTAGCTTCTCTAATAATACCTTTAGTTTAACCATTCTAATTTGGGGCTGCAAACTGATCAATGTTGAACTAATTTATTGTAAGACCTATTTATTTCTTATCCCTAGAATTTATAAAAAAGTTTTTATGGGTAAGTATAAACTTTTTAATTTTTTTTTTGTTATACATTTTTGAGAGTTTGAAATACTATAGATAGTTTCGATTTAAAAACCTGTCATCACTAACGGTTGTTGGTATTTTTTTAGATATAATGAATATAATATTAATATCACTAAAAATAAAAATGAATTCATTTGTAAATTTTATTTTCTTTAAGAACTGAACACTTCTCTTTTCATTATAAGGTCTCCATTGCTTATTTATATTATTAGCATATTCAAAAGAAATAATTATTCCTATAAATCCTATTTAGTAAACCCCTTGTTGGAAGGGTATGCCAATGAAAACGCGACTTGATTGCGAAGGCTGAAAAAGCCGGTTGACAATGGATGGCGGGTTGATTGGGATGGACTGGGCTGGTTTGGATTCTGGTGGAATAGGATGGGCTGGGAGATGTGCACTTGTTAGCCGCAAGGTGTTCGCAGCCTCATCATCTGCATCCCTCATCCACATCCACATTCCCATTCCCAACTGGGTGAGTTTCGCGGTTGTCGAAACGCAAACAAATAAACAAACAAGTTATCAGCAAGGGTTCAACAAAAGCAAAGTGCTCAAAGTAATTCAAAATACAGCAAAAGGGGAAGGAGTTGGATAATCTCTCTCTATCCTGTAGTTGGTTTTCCGTTGTTTGATTATTTAGCGTTTAAATGGCGTTTAATCCTCGTTCTACGGATAAGTATCTTTTTGATTCAGTGCTCTGCAGATGTTAAAATACATCGCATCGCAAACTTTTTCCGACAATGATTTTCATGTTCACTTTGAGAAACAAATTACTTTTTTGAAGTGATCATAGTTCATAATGATGCTTGTAAAAACAAATTAAACTTCAATTTTCTTTACCAACTGGGTTCTGCATGGCCTTGGCTGATTTTAGATCCTCAAGTGACTTTTCCAGGGAAAAGAGGAGGAGCCTTTCTATGAGTACTATTATCAGTGATGCAAACTATGCTATTTTCTAGCTAAATCTAGCTAGTACCAAGAATAATTAAAAAAAATGGAATAGCTTCTTCTTCCTACCACATTAGTATCAAAAAATAATAAAATAACATGTTTTGATTGCATTTTTAAGTTAGTAGATGGAGTTTATAACAGTTGCTTGGATGTATTCACACAATCAGCCATTCTGGAACATTTTAACAGTGGTATTACAAATATTTTTATAATAGGTAAGTAAATACAATTCGTATTTATTCTCTCTATTACTTGTTATATTTTTCACTTATTTAAAATAGGTAAGCTAATAAAAAGCACTTCTTAGCTTGAAAGGTTTCAACTGTTTTCAATATTTAGTTAGATATTTTTGGCAGTCCTTAGATGGCAACACTGGACAGCTTCCCCGTCTTTAAGAAAGACGTTAAGGAACTTCCGCTTCGGTTTTAACTCACTTAGGGCGCTTGCGACTTATGCAAAAGTTTTCAATTGCCTCTTATTACTGTTGTTCTTGCTGTTGCTGCGCGCTTTTTATTGTTGCGCTGACTCAAGTGAAATGCAAATTTATTCAAAATGGAGGAAAATGGAAAAGTTGGCTGTGTCTGCAAAGTCTAAATGGAAGGGCTACAGCCATAATTAAATATCATTTTTTCGCATTTATATTTGCATTTTAGCCAACCGTTTCATTTTATTTCATTCTTAATTTGTTTTGCCTAGATAATTTCGTTAGAGTCCGTGAAGATGGTAAAAGCTAAGGATTCACAGAAAACACTCCAACGATTGGCAAATGAAAAATACCATTTTTCCCATTAGTAGCACGCGATTTTCCAATAAAATTCTAATGGGGAAATCAAATTCTTGGCGAAAAGAGTTGGCTGACCAGCAGCGAAGGAAAATCAGTTACAACTATGGACAGTTATCTCAGCGGGTCATCTCCACGGAAGGACAATTATCGGCGGACATGCTAATTTGTGCGTGGACGAAGGACTCTCCGTAAAGCAGAATACCTCAATATTTGTTGACGGAACGTGATTTGGCGCATTTGCCGTCGCCGGAAAGAAATGGAGCCGGTCAACATGCGACCGCGCCCAATACGAGCACATCAAAAGGGCGAGGACCGCACCCACTTCAATCTCCCCTCACAGCCCTACAGCTACACCGAGAAAAATTACACTTAGGATAAATATTTAAGATTTTTTATCCAATTGTAAGTTAAAAATTGTATCTAAGTTCCTCAAAAGATGACTGGTTATTCATAGTACGCATTAAATGTGAAGAATACCAAATTTTCTCAACCAATAAAAATACCACTTAGGAAAATATCTTTGATTTGATTTTTTGTAAGTCAAAAAATCTGTTCCTCATAAGATGACTGATTATTCATATTTCGAACTAAATAAATTGCCATTAAATGTAATAAACACCAAATTTACTCCTTTTTAGTAAAGGACTAGCCTTCTAGATTAAAGCTCCATTTATATTACCAATATATAGCCGGCGTAAACAAATCTCATGATATTAATTTTACAATCCGGATGCAATATTTTTAATTTTTTTAACCAAACACATAACTAGTTGTATTTTATCTTTCCCTAAGGCAAGAAATATAGTAATATAGTAAATACACCAATATAACAAATCACTGAAAACCTCTTAAAATATTTTCTGATTAAAATGGTTCTATATCCAAAAGACTACACTATTTCGGAAATGTGTAATACTTATTTTTATGTAACTCCGAAAATTTTCGAACTTAAACATTTATTTTCACTGTACAGGCGCTCAACTTCCCGCGGTGCGTTTTTCCAGAAATATGCAATACGTTTTGTCCGAGCTGAGCAAACAGGCGCTTGACCAGAACCTTTTCCATTCTAAAGGAATGAGGTGGGAAGAATCACGAAGCGTAACCGCTGAACACGCAAACCGAAAGGGTTAATTAATTTAATGCCCTAACGCGGACCACAGGAATATAGCTCTTTTAACTAGACTATTGAAACGCCATCAAGTCAAGGTAAATACTAAGTACTGAAAACATTTATGCGAAAAGGAATTTCAAGGTATCTGCCACCACTCAAGGAAGCGCCACCATCTCATCCGCAATTCATCGAAACTCCGCCTCCGAAGACGCGAAAAGACCACACCCTCAATTTTCCGAGGAAGTTCAACGTCTTTGATGTAAACTTTGATGAAAAGAAGTTCTCGGTCCTGGCCCCGAGCTATACCTTTTCAATTTTCCGCCACTGAATTGACTTCACTTTCTGGGTATCTTCCTAATAGAGTCTGAACCGAATCTTTATCCCTTAACCATAGAAAGAAACCATAGAAAAAATAAAATGATTCTCTCACCCCATGGGGCCAATTAAAGTCATTTGTCTGCTAATTATAAACTTATTTTCCATTAATCAAGACGCCAGTAACAAAATGCCAATACTGTCTCCCTGAGAGTAACCCCCACTTTTTGGGGGGCGGGAGAAGATATAGGGGGCGGGGCAACCGCGATGTCAACGCCAATTGATTGCCGACTCTGACATTGGTCCTTAAATAATTCATCAGGACATCGCCGTTGCCGTTGATTTCAATTGATTGCGAAGTACCCAGCGTCTTGTTTCCAGCTCCTTCGTGTTTTGTGCCCACTAAATTATTCCACAAAAAATACAGAGTACATCGATGGGAATCGCTTGGGGACACCATCGTGATCATCGTCATCAACAGCCTATCCACCTGCCATTAACTACGCTTAACCTGACAACATCCTTATGCGGCTCGGGGCTCAGTACACCTATAAACATTAACTTGTCAATAAAGGTAATTCATTATGTCGCACTCGAATACCCGGGGGAGCAACTCCGAGGCTCTGCCTCCGGAAAGACACGTATACCTGGCATCTTTGTATCGTTTTGTTCCAGCCTCTTCCTTTGAGAACTTTGACAGTCTCACTCGATGGTGGTAAAATATTCCATTGGATGGGTAATAAAATCGCTTATTGCACAACGTTTACCTTTACCCGCAGCCAAACGCGTTGAGGTCGCTGTTGCAAAACTCTAATGGAGCTTTTATTGGCATTGGTATGATGTGGTTTTCTGTCGGCCATGGTCGCAGGACATCTAATGGTTAAAAAGAATATCATGAGATTAATAGCTTGAAGATATATCATGATGTATCTCATGAATATCATGAGATTAATAGCTTGAAGATATATCTATAGCTGATATCTCGATTATAATTTGACTGGTTTAGGGATAACATAACAAAAAATCTTTAATAATATAGATTTTACTATAATATTTGGGCACTCATATACAAATTATTGGACAACCCTATATAGGGTATACCTTATACCTTGGAATATATACAAATAAATTGTAATATAATTCTTATTTTAAAATTAAATCTTACAGTGGCAAATGACCCATAAACAATATTTTCTTTAATCATTGAAAATGAATTTAGAATAGAACAACATATCTGTTAAGAAATATATTTCAAAACAATTTATTGAGTGGCGTGTTGTTTAAGAAATATAAAAAATGTATGCTAATTGAACAAATGAAATTGATACAAGTATGTTTTGTATTTTCAAGCCAGTCTCATAATCCCATTTTATTTCTAGAGGTTTTCAGGTACGTGGACTTGGTACCTTATGGACTGGGATGGGATGCTGGTTCTCGGCTCTCGCGTGACACGTCAGATCCATTTTTCGAAATATATTTTCTTCGGAATTTATTTGCCTGTCATTAGAGTTTTTGCCAAACGTGCTTTGGTCGCATTTGCAAGTGCTCCTGTGGGGACGACTATGTTCGACATGGAAGAGCCACACCAAAGACCATCGATTGGGGCGAGGGATGGAGATGGACGTGGCTACGGGAAAAAACCCAACCGTGGAAAACCAATATCAGTGGAAACAGTCACAGGACGCTGACTTCTCCGCCATGGATTAGAGGGGAAAAAAGGGGGACACTTTTGTATCTGTATCTCTCTGATACTCACACACACACACGTGTGTGTTTTATGAAAATTGCATTTCAATTGACAAACACGGGCGAGTGGAGCATAAAATATGGCAATTTACCTCCATCGTGCTCAACTCTTTCGTGCTTTATGCCTCTATGCCATATTACGTTGATGAAATTGTTTTCGTTTTGGACAATTTTCGTGCTGGTTGAGTAGCAGGCAGGATGGGGGCAACGTCCAGGATATTTATTATTTTATTAGCGACGTGTGTTGGTGGGCCGTCGTTCTTGGGAGTGCCACAATTTTCACGGATAAACCCCTTTCGCAGTTGGCCAAAAACCCCTTTGCTTGATGGTTATGATAATTAAGTAATGGCTTCGCGGCGTCGGCATATGGACACATCCGGACATCCGTAAGTGCTGCCCACTCGAGCGTTTCATTTATGCAAACAGGATTCAGGGTACTTTGAATTGTTAGTAGTTGTTTGTTATACTTTGGTCTAGTTGTGTGCCTTAAGTAATTACTTCAAACAATTTTCATACCACAAACGTCGGATTTTACGTGAAATCATGCATTTACAAGGGATCCTAGATTGGCTAAGAATATTTGTTTTTAAAGCCATACTTAAATAAAATATTTTTAAACTTACCAAATGCATTAAAAGTGATTATCATACAATGCTGCGACTATTAAAAATAAGAAAATGCAATTTTTTTGATTAGAACCTCTGAAATCGTTTGATACCATATCTATATTAGACTTTGGAATCTTAACATTTATTCCACTTTGAAGTTAACAAAAACCAGTTTGACAAAGACCAACTACTTTGTATAAAATCAAGATTGTTTATCGTACCCTCCACGGTGTCCATTCAAGCAAAAACATTTTGAGTACATTTCAAGCAATACATTGGGCAATTAGAAGCGTTTTCGATGGCCACAAAACGATTTGTTAAACGATTTTTATTTATGATTTTATGTGCACATGCCACCTCAACAATCACCAGCTAGCCACCAATCGATGATAAAAGACTTGCGCCCCGATAAACCCTAAAAGCCGCAGAAGTTTGGCATTCGGAGTCAGGTGATGGTGTTTGTGATTGCCTTTCATACAGGTCTGTTAACGTATGGACTCTGGTCTAGTATACTGGTCTCCATTGATTGGTAATCGCACTGCGCTATCACTATAGCTAAACACCTTTCGTAAGTTCCTAAGTAAGCTGGCCAACCGTTTGTTTTTATCACCATATCTGGACAGTTTACTAAAAAAGTAGTGGAGTCAATGGAAGTGGACTTAAGGGCAAAGTTCAGAGCGCGGCATGGAACACAAAAGAACTTAGTGCTTCCTAATTGCGCACTAAATTAACTGAAATCAACAGCAAAACAAAAAAAAAAACTGGGAGAATAAATAATAATGAATGGAAGGCGAACTGGACTCGAATCGGATCGTAAAGCCGTCAGCGCACATTGAACATGAAATGCACCGCCAATCAAAAAGGCGCACATAAAAATTACCCACTAAATTGCCGAAAAGAAATTAACTCCAAGCTCATACACTCACCCTCGCCCCAATAAATGGTTATAATCTACGTACTCCTTAAAATTGAAATTCAACTTTGGTGTCTGCCATATCTGCTGGCACCGCCTCTTGTGTCAAAACTGCTTCTGCTGATTTTCAGCGGGTTTCGAAACGAGAGGCGAAACAATTCAATTCGTCTCAGTGGGAATTATAGCTAAGTGGGCAGTTGAGGGAGTATAAAAAGTGGTTCCATTTTAGCATTGTGAAGAAAGCACAGCCTCTTGGTGATAAAATATTGCATGTTTTTGGGATAATAATCTTAAAATGTAACTTCCTCACTTAAATAAGGTGTTATTACAAAAGTAAAATTAAGTTAATTCATAATTCACCAATAAAGAAGACAAATCTGTTTGGCTAAGGAACAAATATTTGAAAAAAAAAGTATTCAAACAAAGGACTCTGAAACAGCATTACATGACATTTATTAAAATGGAAACGTCAAATAAATGTTGACCTAAACATTTTAATTTTAATATTTGTAATGAATTAAAATATTATTAAAATGATTTTGAAAATATTTGAGTGAAGGTAAAAAGTATTCGATACGATCTTGTCATATTCAATTTAATAACTTTTTATTTGTATAAAAAGTAAAGTAATAAATATTTATCTCTTTAATTTAATCTTTTTTATGTACTATGATAGTAAAATTTAATAGTTCCATATTCAACCGTAAATAAAATCGCAAGGCATAAAAAGCAAAGCGAAAACATTCACTTTATCTATAACATGAAGGGACTTACTATGTTTTTATAAAATAAAATGGATATGTAATAGAATATTTCTGAAAAATGCAGATTTAATTTTTTAATTATTTTTGTATTATTGTATAAAAACCAAAGAAAACAAAACCTTGACTGTCTAGCCCACTAACCACTTAAACCAGGCGCGATTCGGAGATGGAGAGTTAATGGATCTCCCCTTTGTCCACCCCCAAAACATTGGGTCCAAAACGACGGCCGCATTGTCATTGAAAAAACATTTTCGGCAGCAACTCAGCGCGATCAATTTAAATTAAGCCGAAGATTTTGTTTTAATTAAAAATCTTCAAATACGCTTAATGACAATTAATTGGTCAACATCAGACCAGTCATCGCCATCGAAATCGTCGCCCTCGCATCGATGGATGGATGGATTTTGAAGGGCAAGATATCTAGAGGGACGGGATGGATGGAGGATCTCCGGCCAGATGGCCAGAAGTCACGCAACCTTCATAAAGCGATCGGAATCGGGGCTTTTCCTCTTTGAAGTTACAGCTGCTGTTGCGTGTTGCGAATGGAGATTTCTTCGCCGATTTCAGTTCAATTGAAACAAATCGAAACAGAGCGAATTCAAAGGGCGCCACCCTGGAAGAATTCTTTTTCTGGATTGATCTTTCGAAGACAAGGGAAAAGTATTCTATCTTATACATAGAAGTAAAGTACCCCTCCTAGTAAGCATTACTAACCTTGTTAAGTTGATGAATGGGTTTGCGACTTGTTATTAACTTTACAACTTCCAAACCCACATAAAAAATGAATAGGTTACCACCCCTTTGGATTGTGTGTGTGGGTTTTAATTAAGCCAAGAAAGGTGACTCTAATGACTAGTTATGCACTCTGTGGCCCAATTGGGGAAATGCACACGATAATCTCTGAACTTTACACTCGACAATGGGCTAGGTGCCATCACCACCACTATTACCCAATTCCATTCCGCCCACCTCTGCCCTATAAAATAGCTGACCAGCTGACAGTCCCCAAAGACAACACAACTGATGGACTGCTGATGACATAATATGCAAATAGATTGCCACAAACCACAACCAACTACCAACAACACGGCACATAAAATACATCCTTGCATGCCCCTGGAAATCGGGGGTGGTACACCTTCTTAGTCTGACCTGTGAATAGTTTTTAGCTTGATTTCTTCAGGGAATTCCGTATCCAGAGCTTTGTCCAAGCTGACAAAATAAAGAAGTTGCTGTGCTTACAACTGTGATAGAGATGGGAGAATCAAATAGCGTTACTATATGTACAGGTTCCTTGAGACTGGTACATCCCTAAAGCTTGTATATGTTATAAATAGTGAGGTTACGTTTTGTGATTTAAAAGAAAGAGAGATAGCAGAAGTAATTAGTATATGAAAACTATAGATAGCAAAGAATAAACTAATATAATCTTTTGAAATCTTAAAAATCAGTGAGGGATTGTCTAAAAAAATCACAAGAGTGGAAATATTATTGTAATTTTACTGTATAAAAACCGTGCCCCCTAAAGGTAAAAACTTTAAACATAGAAAAATATTCGACCGAAATTTTGGAACTGCTAGTTTTTAGTTTTAGGAAAAAGTCCTTTAATTTGGTAAATTTGGATAGAATAATTTTTCCGATCTATTGAGTATATCGTTTAAAATGCAGGGCGAATACATTTTTTGGTTTACCTGAGTTTACGCTACCATCCCTAGTTCTACTATACTTGCGTACTATGGCAAAGGGTCATGCAGTTCGTTTGTCTCCATTTCGCTTTCGCGTTCCCGTGGCCTTAGTAATTTGCTTAATTACTTTAACTTGTAAATAGAGCTGTGAGGATAACGACTGCTGCTAAAGGTACAATCACAAGGAAGGTGCGGGCTAATCGCTCCGCGGAATAAACGAACTGGGCGACTAGTGGTATTATTAGGTGACAGTTTTGCATAAGCCAAGCGTTTTGGCTGTAATTAAAATAATTACCCCTTCCGATTAACCCAGTTCCGAGGCTCGCTGCTCAATTTTCTGCATTTTGGTGGTCCGTGTCTGTCAGTCTGTTCCACTTCCACTTCCACTTCCATTTCCATTTCCATTAGCCGAGCATTGTAACAGCCCCGAGCTGTTGCTATTATGTTGTCACATGTTTACTGAGGCATGAGCGAAGCGATTACGGAAGGGGTGGAGTTTTGGATTCCGGAAGGGGTTACCGTAACCGGAACTGAGGAAACAGTGGCAACCGCATAAGGACATCACGCCTTGCGGCGCTGATTGTTCCTTTTGTTGCCTTCTATACTTGTCGTAGGTTGCCGATTCGGAATCGGAATCGAGACTTACCCTTTGATCCCAAACCCCCCATTGGCAAAGCGACATTATCCCATAATTATAGGGCCACCGTATGCTGAACTGGGACACGTGCGCCTTCTGTTCTGTTTAGCCAATATTTATGCAACAATTTAACCGCAAAATTTATTAATGCTTTTGCCAAATTGTTTTAAAGCCGACGAACCCTTTTTCCGGCCCATGATGTGGCCAATTTTCAGATTATCAGATTTTTGTTTTGCCTTAAACGGTTTCAATGATTCTTTCGGAACAATTGGAGAGTAATTTGAAGCTTGAAAAGAAAAGCAGATTCCATGCTAAGCGGTATGCGAGTATTAAATTTCGTAACAAGAAAAAGTATTTCGGAAAAACTCAACCACATATCGTTCAAACATTGCAAAAACTAAGTATTGTTATTAGCTTAAAGATGAAAACTTGAACTATCTTGATTCCTTAAACACCTAACATTAGTTAGTATTTTAGAATTAACTACTACAAAAATAAATACCAAATAACAATAGTTCTTCTCTTTATAAATATTTCCATGAACAGTATTATAGTGCACCAAAGAACGCCATACATGCCTCTTAGAATTTCAGACTCCCACATCTAATGTTCTGTTCTTATCTTGCTGTCTGAATCCATTTCCATGAACTGAAATCGCAATAACTATTACGACTTCTGCTCCCAATTGTTCGTCTGTCTCTATTTCAGTCCCATCAAAAAAAGCAAATAAAACAGTTAAGAACAATTAAGTTTTTGAAATCATGCAAAAGTTCGAAAATGTCAAACTCCGAAGCGTGAGAAACATTTTTGCAGTGATGTTGAATCAAAACCCCCGAGAAGGATAGCGATATTTTTTACAATTAACGAATGCGACCCAGCTTGGGGAATTGTGGGAGACAAAAAAAATGCAGTGCACTGCAAGAAACGGTTAAGGAAATACAAAAATGTATCCCTATTAAATTTAATAAAAATGTATACCCACATTTTGGTATATTTGGTGAAACCTTGTAGGTTTTTCAAAAGTGAGAAAAGCTACTTTTGGACATATCTGGAATTTTTCTTATAGTGAACACTGTCAAGCTCAAATCGTTTCAGTCATGCGATTTTTTCCCTCAATCAAACCCAGTCCGGCTCCATCACCATCTCCATCTCCAGTCCGATCCGGTCCGGCCTGGCATTGGTGTCCGGAACGTCGTGTATCTGTATCCGTTGCCCATGGCTGTATCTATATCTGTATCGGTATCTGGATCTGTAGTCGCATCGCAGTCATGTCACCCTTTTCATTACGTTCCATTAAGAGTGTTGGGGGATTAATTGAATTTAATTGATTTGCCAAAGCAGACTAAATTGGCCACACTGTCTAGATTCCGGGGGCAGCACCGCAACAGATACTCGGCCCAGACAATTATCCATGAGATACGAATGCTCGTACCATACATATGGATGTACATTACACCCGGAGCGAAGGAGGCATCGGTATTGGCTTCCATCTCGCTGTGTTGGTTGGCTGGATAAATTAATGAGCACATGAATTCGGATTCCCACTTTGGGTGCTACAATAACATCAGCAGTTGATCATCCGAACAGTGGTTGCAAATAGTACACACACCGAGATGTGGCCTATGCACATATGACATCATCATCATCAACATCGGCAGCTTGGCTTTTGTGCGGGTGCCTCAGTCCGTCCGTCCTCGTATTTGTTGTTGTGGCTGGCTTAATTACACAACGAGCTCACAGTTTGAGGTTCAGATACTTTACTACCCGGCAGATATAGATACTCGTTGAGCTCCCTGCGGAGGCGTGAGATCCCAGCAAATGGAGCCCGAGACGGAGTTGGAGCTGGTTGGCTTTTCAAGTAACCGCTTGACACTTTTGACAATGGAACTTGTTAATTATCTAGTTTGTGGGTGCTGCTTGGGCCAATTAATGCATGCAATCAACTTCTTGAGTCTAAATATAGATTCTAAACCTCTAATGGGAGTTTGTTCCAGTTTTGTATGCTTGGGGTATTCAGGTCCTTACGGAAAAATTTACCAGAGGTTACTTCAACTATATATAAAAAATGATAGAAATAATTTATTTATCAAATTGCACTTCTTAATAAATTTCAAAGTGTACATTTTAAATTATTTAGCCATTATAAATCGAACAAGGAAGAACTCTATAGTCGAGTACCTCGCCTATCGGATACCCGTTACTCAGCTAAATAAAGATATGCAAGTAGCAAAGCGAGATTAAAATGCGCCACCTACCGGCGGTATACAGATTTAAGCGTTATGGGCGTTAGAGTGGGCGTGGCAAACTTTTTTTTGGGTCAATCGATAGGTATTGATGAGAACATTACATTTCAGTTAAAGTTTTTATTCTAACACCAAAACTATAGGAGCCACAGTTTTGGACGTTTTGTGGGCGTTAGAGTGGGCGTGGCACTCTACTGAAACAAACTTACGCTGCGTAAGAAGCTCAGGAATCTGCACGCCAAATCTCAATAGCCTAGCTCCCATAGTTTCCGAGATCTCAGCGTTCATCCGGACAGACAGACAGACGGACAGACGGACATGGCTAGATCGACTCGGCTAGTGATCCTGATCAAGAATATATATACTTTATGGGGTCGGAAACACTTCCTTCTACCTGTTACATACTTTCCGACGAATCTAGTATACCCTTTTACTCTACGAGTAACGGGTATAAAAACTTTGATGAAGTCCAAAAAATTGCAAGGATATATACTTGACCCCTACCAGATTTATGTATGGTCCATAATTTACCCATGTTATATTTTAGTAAGAGCCATACTTGAACAATGTATGGTACATACTAAGTTTTAGTATGACACATTTAAATTAAGTATGATCCACATTAAATTTCAAAATCTTGGTCATAAGTGTTATACAATTTTGAAAGGAATGCAGCTTGTCCTTATATAAATCCTTAGATTGCTCTAGAACATTCGTAAAAACTGTTAGAAGGCAAAATAATTTAATTTAAACAAAATTGTTATGATTAAAAAAGTGTAAGCGGTGAAAAATTGAACTGCATAGTTGTGTAAGACAATTGCAAATGCTTAACGAAACTAAAATATTATCTAAGATATAAAGATCGGTATCAAACATCCCAATAAATTTTGTTACATTTTAAGTTAGATATTAGGGTCAGTTATTACTTTTTACTTGCACCAGTTATTTTTGAAAACCTGAAAAAAATATAGCCAAATTTCGATATGGCTAATACATCTACCAAAATATTCTTTACTATCCTCTTCCCACTCGTTATCTCTTTAAGTAGACTATTGACAGCTTAAAAAGTTGTGATTTCAAAAGTTTTTAGCTAGCTTTGGTATACCAATGAATACTTTGGTATACATTTAAAAAAATATAAAACAAATAAGAAGGGTGAGTCCCAACATTTTAGTTAGTTACTAGTTATGAGCTTGTGATTTGTAATACAAAACTTAAATAAAAGCTAGATCAGATAAAAAAAGACCAAATTAGTATTAAAACTAAACTAATTAATCAAAAAGATATCCTTTATTTTTATCATTTTGTTTCACCAAGCATAAATTTCTATGACATTGCCATTGGTTGCTATTGGGAGCTCTGATCCCGCACAGAGATACCTAAAATGTTTACATAAAAATCACTATTTAATTATTTAAAAGCTCAGCGGATAGACAGAGAGCCTAAAAAAGAAACGACAAGAACAGCATGCACATTGTATATACGCTATACTACTACTATTCCCATGTATTTTTTTGGCTCGCTTAAACAAATAAAGCTGTATGAGAGCAAATATTTTTGTTCGATTTGTATTTGTTTTACCTTGATTTGCACGGCGAGGTCCCAAACGGTTGGCTCCGCCCAGAACATGGCTCTGGAATGTGTGTTATCGCTCGGAGTTTTCCTGTGTTTTCCTACGTTTTTTTGTATATTTTTTGGCATATGGCTGCGCTCCTTCAGCACACACAAATGGGGAGCCGATCCGCCCCACCACCCCCAGCGGAGAGGGGCCCTCATCGGGGCCACCAATTGGGGGTTCACCAGAAGGGGCAGCTCCTCCCACTCGCCAATGGAGCTCTCGACAATCCAATCACCGTCGACTCGCCACTGCGCATGGTGGCAAAGGGGTGGGGCGGATGGGTGACTGCGATTGCGCCTCTGTTTTCAGTGATAACAAATCTTTATCGGGGCAATGGTTGCTTATCTGGACACGAATGGAAAATCAATCGATTCAATCGAGTTTCGTTTGTTTGGTAATTAGCTTTTGGACAATATTGTTGCTTCTCCGCCTTCTCTGCTCTCTTGTTGTGTTTTTTTAGTGAGTATTTGCATTAAATATCTCGGCCTCTGTTGCTCTTGTGGGGTTAGAAAAAATACAGACTTTTGAAAAAATATTCGGAAACTAGGACAGCAGCTTCAACTAACAATATAGTCGCGATATTTAAATGAATAGGCAGGGTGTTTTGATGGCATTTTATTCCTTAGTTTATATCAGTACACGGTTTGAACGCAAGAAGGGCTTTTAAGATATGATTACTGGCAGTCGTGGGCTTTTTAAAAACATAAAACAATTATGTCTTTTATTAGTAACTATAACTATTATTTCTAAAAAATATGTAAGAGCATATAGGTCACAATGATAGGGACAAACAGTCCATTTTAGGAAGCAGTTATAAAATCGGCTATTCCAAGTTCAAGAAACAACGAAATTTCTATATGACTGATCCCCGATAAAATTTCCAATTAAAATAGATTAATTCAAGGAACTTAAGTTGATAAAGCTTTCTTAGTACACAAAAAATTTGATATGCTTTGCTTTGTAGCTCTAAAAAAGACTATTCAAAAATTTGGTAATATACAAAGAATGAAGTGATCACTTGCCAAGTCCTCACTGAGCTCTGCTAGAATGACTATTCCAGAGAGTATAATGATCGTAGCAACTGTATAAAGCTACGAGTATATCGAAAAGTTTATCTTCAACCATAGCCAAAGGTAGTCCCGGCAAACAGACGTAAGCCATAAACATAATTACAACTTATCAATAAAAGCGAGCACTAACCCGGTAGACTCCGTGTCGCCACAAAACTCATTCCACCTTTCCCTTTATCGGACCCCGAACTATTTGCTTTCTGCTGGCTTGGGCTCTACGTCGAATGAGCCGCGTTTACAAGTTGTAAAATATACAAATACCGATCAACAAAGGTGCAAACAGAAACATCAGCCAAGTGGCAATTGTAAGTGATCCGTAATCATACTCGATATAATACCTTAAACAATTTGACCAGGTTTTACAAAAACAATCTTCAAACTACTTTCGATTTCTTTAGACTTAAATATATTATGAACTTACAACAATTTCTAGTGATGTACACTACTTGCCAGTCACTGTCGGGGGTGTCACAGAAATCTCTTCGGGTGAAATTTGAGGAGAACATAACGAATTTCGCCGGAAGAGATTTCTGTGACACCTTCGTATATAAGAACATCACTGAGCCAATAAGCTGTCGATAATTACAATAAAAATTGCTGTTTGGATAAATCGTAGTACCATAAATATTTGTAAACAATTCTATCCCCTTTCACCGATCTGCGCGTGGTAGTACTAACATACTTAACCGATATGCTGCAATGGTTTTGATAGACGGGGGTGCTATAAAACCGGAGTTTTATTTCAATCTGCCGCCTCCAGGTTAAATATATGGGCCTATCGACGGAAAAGAGCAATCGATCTGTGACCCACCATCGGTCGGACTTCCCCGATTAGATAAGGGTACTAACATCCAATACCAGCCCCTTCTTTCCCTACGAAGGGCCAGTGGCTCCAAGCCGCCTGCCACGGTTCAAAGTCATAGCCCGTAGATCCGGGGGCAATGGCAAGGGACTGTAAACCAGCCCCACTAACCATCAACTCACTTGGCCAAGCGCGTCCTGTTTGTGCATCCCCGATCCAGAGGCACAACCACAATCACACTCCTATCTGACCCGAGTGGAGCCCACACGAGCAGCCAACAACTATCGATCTATAAAGAGGCACTAAATCAACAATAACACCGCCGCAACACTGAGTGGAGTAAGAGCTATAAATAAATTATTTATAGCTTCGGTGGTGGAATATTGCCACCACACAGAGGTAATAGATGGATCGGTTGGCGGTATCGGTTTGGATTGGGTACACCACGGAATACCTTTTTCTATTTGACTGCATAAAGCGGGTAGAGGTGGAGACCGTGGGGCTAAATGAAATTGCACTGCCCTGAGACTCTCTCTTGCTCTGCTGGTACACTGAAAATTCTTATATAATTTCGTTTAATAATATCAAAATATATTTCATCTATCACTGACAGCTTAACAGATCTTAAAAATTTACTACACAATTTCGAACAACATTAATGAAGATCACTTGGTTTTTCAAAGTCTTTCCCTTCTGCAACGTTAAAATTCCCAACAGGTTCTGGCTATTACACGGAAAATGGTCGATCATTATTGAATTTTCAGAAAATATATATTAATTTAGGTAACTTCTCAGACATGATAACAATTTTGTAAATATACTGTTGCTTATATTTGAAACATCCAATATAAGTATTTCTTATGTGAGGTTCTAAATGTTCATGTTCTTAAACTTTCTAGAAATACCTTGCTATTTTGTTCTGTGTACGAGAATAGAGAGAACATACGAAAATTACTTTGATAACCGATTGTGTGCGTTGATAACTGATAGCCATGTTATTATTAAGGGCTATTAAAATTCTGATTGAAAATTCATGTCAAAAATATATTTTATTATCCATTGTAAAACTTCATTTCGGTTCTTGATTACAACCGGGCAATATAGAATCCAATCGAATCGTAACAATTCGAATTGTTTAGAAACGACTGCTTACACTTCTTTGGTGATATGGGAATGCAAGTCCATAGATAGCGTTTTCATATATATAAAAGCCGGTAGAGTTATCAGACTACTATATATGGTGTCTGGTTTTAATGCCTACTCTGTGTAGCTTTCTTACGGGTTACGGGCTCTCCGAATGACTTAGGCATTTTCATAATTGCTTTGTTATTAATAGTCTTTACCATTTCTGCATTATTAGTGATAGCAATGGTAGCCCTCCGCCTAGTGCAAGATATATAGGGTTTCATTTTCATATTAATAAATAAAAAAAAACTTGGGGAAAAGTAGATTTCCGATTAATCAGGTAAACGTTAAAATTTGCGATATTGGAAAGGATTACTAATTACTATTAATTTAGAGGTTTAAACTTACAATTTTCAATCTTTATTTTAAATCCTATATTGATAGATTTGTGTTTTTCATTACGATTACCTCTACTAATGGATTTGGACAATAAAATCCTGATAATCTGTAGATCCTCACAATGGTTTAGATTACCATTTAAGTTTTTGGCTATTGGTGGGTTTAGAAGACTTCAAAAGTGAGAAATATAAATATATACCTAAATAATATAATGTTTGTGCCTTGTTTATAAAAATAATTTTCCATTTAAACTGTTTAGCAGTTAATAATTGGATAGATACTACCAATAAACCAGAAATATGGGTACATTTGCGAACTGCCTTTTTGGGGCTTTGTAAATTTGGAATTCAATGGCTAATAACGATGGCTCCTTCTTTTATACAAAATCAATATCTAAGATATCTTAAAATGATCAACACCCCTTACTTTTTTTCAACTAGCTCATTCCGTCGGATTTTAATGGTCAGATTTGAACGTGGTTCTCTAATTGGATCTAGAGCAGAAAGGGAGTGAGGACGGTACCAAGTCTATGGGAATCGGAGCGGAGAAAACTCCACTTGTTCACACTCCATCCTCGACGCACTAAATTTGGTGTGTAATTCTTTAAATCGTTGCCATGTGTTGGAGGAGCGATGCCAAAACCAAGTGACACAAATAATTCGGAGCTGGGATCTGGGACGCCCGGAATTATTCAAATCTGTGGCGAAGACTGGAGGGTAAAACGGGAGCTCATAACACTTATTTATGCGGCCGATGAAATGGGAACATTAGCTCTTTGTGTTTTGTAAATATTTGTCATAATTTCGAGGGGTGTTCAACGACATGTGCGCTCCACCAGAAAACCAGACGATATTTTATTTTCAGGGCATTTAAAAATGTCCCACTGCCACTGGGTATTTGTATTCTGAGTTGTGCTTTTTAATGTCGCAATTAAATGCATGAGTTTTAAAAAATTAGACGCCTGTCAAAATTTTCTAATTTATGGTTCTCAAAAAGCTTTGCTCCAAAGATGTTCCCCAAATTAAGATACAATTGGATAGACTTTTTCTGCCTTGTCTCAGAAGATCCCGTTGAAATCTCAGACAAGATGTGTTATTGGAAATTACTTAAAACTAGATAGAATTCTTTCTTACTTTTGAATTATGGTTAACTTTCTCGATCATAAGTTGCCTAACTTCAATTTTTATAAGCAAGTTTCAGATCTTTCAAACTTACTATGCATTCCGTTTTTATAAAGCACAATATACTTTCTGTCGATTAACTATATTAGATATATTAAAGATTTTAACTAAAAACATTTTACTGGTTATTATAATTCTCTTCAAAAACTTTTAAAATTAAGGTTTCAGATCCAAATGATATATATTTGGTTTGTTATGGTTTGTTGTACAAATTTTTTACCAAATTATAATTTGTCGTTTACTTTTTAAATTAAGGTTGTAGATCCAAATCATATACATTTTGTTTGTTCTGGTTTTTTGAATATTAAAATACACAGCTTTCTATGGTTTTTACCATAGTGACTACAGCTTCAATAGTTCCATAGATCGGTCTGGGCTGGATTTTCTGATCAATTATGATCTGATTACAATCAAAAAAGTCATGAATAACCTCTTATGATCTGGATCAACACACATAGTTAAAACTCAAAAAAAAACAGTGGAATTAAGCACTTGACACTATAAAAATAAATGAATTGCAAACAACACAAAGGTGAAAACCCTTTGGCTCGAAAAAATCATACTGAAGTGCCCACTTGCCCCCAGGAAATCACTTAGCCACCGTTCGCCGAGGCAGAAACCATTTGAAGTTAATGGCGCAAAAACCAATCGCGAGTGCCAAGTCAAAGCTGCCAAAGGGAAAAGGGATGGGAAAAGGCAATTGGGGGATAGTCAAGTGTGAAGAATGCGGCATTAGTGGTTGCGGTAGTGCCAGGAACCACTTGAAATTAAATGGCGCGGGGCACTTCAAACGCCAAAGACAACAGCGATTACCAAATCGATGGCGGTTCAAAAAAGAAAGGCAGAAAAAAAACAAAAAACGAAGGAAAACCAAAGAGCCCGCCCCCAAAAGCAGAGCAGAGGTAAACCAAAGGCCAGCAAACACGCGCCCAGCACACGCACACGCACCACCACCCCCTGCCGCCCACCACCCACATACCCCCAACCACCATTGTTCGGCGGTGGCATTGATTTGAACGAATCAAAGCGGTATGCGCACTAAAAATACCAACAACAAGCTACCAAAAAATCCAGATTAACCATGGCCAGCTGGAAAGGGGCGTGGCCAAAGAGCGAGATGGCCTGCGAGGCAAATGGTGGTGGCTGTTCCGATTCCACTTGGAATCCGCTGTTCCGTCGTTCCAATTGGAATCACAACCACCCGTTGTCCCGCTCGCACTCGCAGGGTGTGGCATGGCGTAACAGTGGTGGTGGTGGTGAGAGGAGAGCATTTCCGCTGAGTGGAAACGCCGAGTGCGGCCGCTCCGCTCGTCAGTTGCCTTTGGACGCTCGCTGACAGCGGTAAAATCGGAGCAAAAGCAATCCGAACGGGGAGGAATATACATATACATATATATGTATATATTGTACAGATATAGATAAAGCAACGAGAGCCGTTCTCTCGCTGAAGCTTCGGACGTCGACGTCGCTGCGAAAATCTAGGCGAAAATCGCAACACTTGGCATATATGGTGCTCCGTATCCGGCTAAAAGTCAAGTGCAGGCAGAGGAGCAGCAGAGAAGCGGTAGCAGCGGCAGCAGCAGCTGCGGCAGCAGAGTTTTCCAAGCTCGGCGGCAGAGATTCACTCTCGGCCGGGCGCCGGCGTCAGCGTTCCACGGGATCCGTGATTAGGTTTTACGGTCTTTCAGTCCGCTCGATGACGCCGAAGCCAGCAGTTATGCTCTCAGCAGCCAAGAAAGCAGCAGCCCAAGCAGCATCAGCATTAAAGCCCTAAATCTGTGACACTTCCTTCCGGTAGCCACACGTTGCGTATACGCCACCGTAACCCCATGCCGTCGCGTAAAAACCAAACAGTTTCAGTGCCAAAGCCAAAGAACCAAAGCCAGTTAAACCAAGCTTAAGTAACTAAAGAAAGAGAAAAAGAATAAAAACTAAATCAGTGCTTAATCCCAAAAATGGACGTGGCCAAAATGCAAGCCACTTCCGGTCAGCATCTACTGCATCCGGCCGCACCGCCCGCCCACCAACACCACCTGCCCCTCGACTACAGCCTGGGCAACTTTAAGCCAGCCATTGCGGCGGACTTTCCCGGCTCCTTCCTCACCAGCCAGCAGTCATCGTCGGCCTCGAATTCCGCCTCTTCAGCGGCCGCCGCCGCCGCCGCCTCCTCCGCCTCGCTGCAGGTGAGGGATCTGAGTGCCCTGACCGCCATGGCCACGATACCCTCGCCCACGCAGCTGCTACACCAGCGCATCCAGATGTCGGCGGACGCCGCCCTGGGCCACCACCAACAGCAGCCGGCCCACAACTCCAATCCTCCGCAGCCACAGATGCCGCCGGCATCCACGTCGCCGCACGAATATGCACCCATGTCCGCCTTCAAAGCGGTGCTGCCCAAGAAGCGAAACTCCGACGGTAAGCCGGAAAATCATATTATATCATATCCGTTAGTTGATAGGGAGTGTTATTTCCTCAAAAAAAAAATATCAAGTCAGGGATTTTAGTTATCAGTTAATAGCTTAGTAATGGCTTAGTAATCTTAATTTTGGTGTATGTTTATATAAATCTTCTTTGAAA